CCCGGTCATGTTTGCGACCGGTAGATTAGTCGCAATAGTGAGAGCAAAATTCAGTGGATCGATGAGCTCTGTTGCACTAAGCCAACTGTGCAAACTTGTGAATACCAATCGCGGTTGAGTCAGCTGTTCAACGGGTAAGACCTCCAAGCAATCGATAACCGCTATCGCACTGACTTGCCTGCGTGAATGGATGGATGATAACCGAGGTTGTCATCACTGGAGCACTGCCTAAGTTCGACAAGCCACTGGCCAAGGGTCAACGTAACAATTAGGACTTGTATCAAATGGGTCAAATGAGCCCCCTTGGATGATGCAGTTCTACATCTGAATTGCGTTATTTAATAACTGACGTCACGAGAATAAGGGCGACACTGACGGCGACCAAAACTAGTCACAACGAATGTACCGAGCCGTTTCAGTTTCAGCCGGCAACAACAAAGACGAGTGAAAAAATAAATGTTTATAGACATCATGATACACATTTTCCAACAGAAAGCGTGGATAAATTGCACCAATTACAATGGGAGCTTGAAAAACAAGTTGATGCACTACTTATTCTTAGTGACAGGCATTCCGAAACCGCTGCAGTTCACGGTAGACGCCCTGCACTCAATTTTGTGGGACAATAGTTAGAAGTAGAATGGCATTCGTGAAATTTCCCTAAGAAAAGGTGAACAGTTTCGAGATCCTTGCGGCTGAAGGTCCAGTGCACTGAGGGTATCGTAAAAGATTTCGATTCCCTCGATATCACATGAGGCTTCATGTCTGAATTTCGCTTTACACAAGTAACAGGTAATATTCGTTAATAAAAACAAGTCTGGAAGTAACGTATTTTTTATCAGGTTAATTTAGTCACTTATATCCCTATTGATTTTTCGTAGTACTAAAAACTTTAAACTAAAAACTAGTATGTTATGTGGCAGCTTCTGGAATCTACTCTTCGAATCCCCGAGGGATGAAACATAGCGGTACATTGATTGTACTTAAAGGTCAGTAAACCGAATAACCAATAAAACTGTATCATTGACAAGCTGATTATCTGGTTAGGTAGTGGTATTTGGTAGATTACGTTATCGTTCGATCGTGTGGTATGCATACGGTCATCTCTCGTGTTCAACAATGTGTTTTCTGCTCGATCAAACTTTCCGTCGAAATGCAAAGCACACAATCGGCTACTGGATATCCCTTTTCGTCTCAGTGATTATACAAACTAAAAGTGCAACTGTTTTCGTCGTAACAGTTATTTCCAAAAATTTTCACCTTTTCACTCACTATCATGCGCCGTCGTTACTCACGGGATGATATTATTTG